TCACCAACAAGACATAAACGGATAAGCTAGCAAACAACAAGAAGCCTGAAGAAGTTGGAATACAACATTATAAGCCATTGGGGATGTGGGAATAGATGATGCATTTATTATTGAGATCGGATATGGGAATATGCATACTATTATTTCATATAGGATTTAGATACTTTGCATTCTAATGATACTAACCTTATCATCTTACACACATACTTTCCCGTTACGTATATATTAGGACAACTCCACAACCTATAGGACCTCCCCCACACTACAAGAAATTTCATTTTCAACGACCAATTCTTGGCGACAGAATATGAATTCGGTCGTTAATAATATATCTATAACGACAAAATATTTTTTTTGTTGTTAAAAGTTAATTTTTAAAATATTCTCAGCGACCAAATAATTTCTGGATGTTAAAAAAGTTAGTATCCGGTTGTTAATTAATAATCAAGAAGGGCCCTCTTTAATTATTTTATAAAACAATATCACACGTCTCTCTACATACCCCACTCCTCCCGTCCGTTTGGAACAACAAACACTAATATTGTCAAATTTCTTGGTTTGTTCACTTTGTTGTTAGAGAAATCAGGGGCACGATATACACAATCTACAGGTGAATTAATTCTCCTCTACAGTTAGAGAAAATTCAGCAGCTTGGAGGATATGGTACTTCTCTCTAGTTTTGTTAGAGGTTTGGGGATTCTCGATTTCCATCTTCCCACATTTTATCAGCCATACGTCTCGCTCAGTTCAAAATAATGAGCTTTAGTTTCTGGAGGAAAATTAGCAAGAAGATAAGATCCAAAGCTTGCGTCAATTTCTAGGTTTGTTGAGAAAAATTAGTCATGGGTTTCTCAGTTCCCTGATTTTTGTAGTTTCCCTGATTTTTCAGTTTCCATTTAGGTTTGTTTTTTTCTCTTTTTAACTGAAAATGTTTTTCTGCTTTATGCACTAGTGTAGTTTAGTCATATCCTTAATTAATGTGTGAACTGAATCCTTTAATATTTTTGCATCCATGTTTTTTCGATTTCTTTTTGTATGGTTCAGGTCATAGAAAAACATAGTTGTCTCACTTCTTCTTTTAATAAAGTAAAGGATAAAGCTGTGTCAATTATAATATGATTTGTTTGTACAGACTAGAGTTAACTTCTTTCTCTAGCTCTTAACAAATATTTATTTAGCTTATTCTTTCTCGACTTAATGTGTAACCTAATTGTGATTCACTGCATCCGAGTTCACCTTCAAAGTTACCATTTTGACTAGTTTGTTGGCAAGCATCAATCTGAAAAAAGGATAGAGCTTGGACATTCTTTTAACTTTGTCTTATTTGACGTTTGAATCTTGTCATTACTCTATGGATAAGTGTGTCGTGATACTTGAATATAAATTTTCTTGATGCTATTGTTTCTTTGCAATGATGTCATCATATCTCTTCATTCATATGCCTCTCTTTGACAATGATGTACTCGATATTTGCTTGAGATATAATCCATCTTGTCTTATAACTTTATTATGTAGGTGCCAAGGAGCTAAAAATTGACTTTTAGAAGAATCAAAATCACCTCGAGTTTTGAAATATGTTTGCATAGTATGTACTGAAGATCCATTATGGAATCATTCTCTAGTTCAATAGCTATCTATCATAAAAAGTCTGTCCTGTAGCTATCTGTGTCTTTTTGAAGTTTGCTTTTACTTGAAAGCCAAATAACAATATATATAAATCAACCCATCATTACATATTTTGGCTATTCATTTTACAAGGTAACAAAATTGATAACGATTTCAATTTGTTTGCTCTGTACATAAGTTTAGTATTTTTGAATGAAATAGGGAAGGCAACAAGAAAGTTATTAATCTCTAGCCTTAACTTTAATTATCAGTCCATGTCCCTGTAAAATCTAGTCATAGGTCACTATGTATATCCTTGCAACAACTATTCCCTGAATATGCTTGTCTCTGCTTAGAATTGGTTCATGTATTAACTGATTTTAGGATTCTCTAAGACAACCAAATCACTTCTTAGTAGATGGTTATTGTTTCCTTATCTGATGCATAGTGGATTCTCTAAGACAACCACAGTTATAACTTATATTGTCGTGTTAAAATTGACAGCTTCTCTTCATACTGCTCATTTTCACCTTGCTGCGACTAATAATCTGGAAACATTCTTTGAAGGTAAGTTTGGATTCTTATAACTATGAATTTGTTTGTGAAATGCCTCATGTTTCTCAAATCTAAACGTTTATTGTATGATTCCATATCAATTCCTTTTTTCTGTTTTTTGTGTCTGTGCAATTGAGCATATTAGTGGTAAGCATATATGTTGAATGTACTATTGTGAGAATTCTTGTTAGTATACTTGATTGAAAATAAAATGAGGTGAGATAATGATTGTTGTTATAGAAAAGTGATTTGCATCTTATTCTGTAAAGAATGGACTACAATTGAAACTTGGAAGCAATTTGTTGTTTATTGACTTGATAAGCAGTAGGAAATAGGAAGAAAAATGGATCATCTTCATCATAAATAATGGATTCTCTTAAGACAACCACATCAGTTCTTAATAGATGGTTATTGTTTTAGTTATCTGATGCATAGTGGATTCTCTAAGACAACCACAGTTATAACTTATATTGTCGTGTTAAATTGACAGCTTCTCTTCATAATGTTCATCTTTACCTTACCGAGACTAATAATCTGGACACATTCTTGGAATTTCCATCTCTTTAAAGGTAAGTTTGGATTCTTATAACTATGAATATATTTGTGAAAAATGCCTTTTTTTTCTCAAATCTGAACTTGTCCTGTATGATTTCTTATCAGTTTTTTTTTCTGTTTTGGTGTCTGTGCGGTTGAGCATATTGGTAGTAAGCATATATATATGTTGAATGTCCTAATGTGAGAACTGTTGTTAGTATACTTGATTGAAAATAAAATGAGGTGAGATGATGACTGTTATTGTAGAAAAGTGATTTGCATCTCATTCTGTAAAGAATGGATTGCAACTGAATCTTGGAAGCAAGTTGTTGTTTTTATTGACTTGAATAGCAGTAGGAAATAAGAAGAAAAATTCTCGTTTAAGTGCACTAATACCACATATTAAATAACTGCCAAGTGAATAAGTATATTGCAAATAACAGTATTCATTCTTTGTGCATGTAGTTTGTTTTTTTCCCATTCTATGATGAAGTCCTTTTGCTTAAACAAGACTGTTGTTTCATCTTTTCCATTTATCCTTAACTTGTCTCCTACTGTCTTGATTGTATTTCCACATTAATGAAATGAAATAGGCCTGCTTGTAGTTGGATTAATGTGCAAATGTGTGCCTATTATTCTGTCTCTTGCGATAGCTTTTGTGAATGGAAACTAATATAGAGTGTTTCAAGAGATTTTGGAGTATGAAAGTTCATTCTAAAAGTTAAAAAGAGATCTGAAAGATTGCTGCAAAAATGAATACAATGTAATCTTTTAGGACTGAAAGGTTTAGTGTAAGTAAATACACTGTATACAAGAAAAGTTAGATAGACAACATGATTTGAATCTGATATGTCTAAGTTGTTTACTGATTCAAATATTGAGTTGATGTTATACATTAAGGTATGTTTGGGGTACACATAGGTGTGTTAGATACACTGATTTTGTTAGGAGAAAACTAATTCAGTTAGTACTATACTTGCTTTTGCTAGCTTGATGACTTAAACCTTAAAAAAATAAAATTACACAAGAGTACATATATACTCACTGTTTGATTAATTGAACATTAGAACAAAAGATAGTAACATTAAATAAACATAGTATTACATTTTATTCAAAACACAATTTTAGTTCTTACTCTTTTTTGTTGTTATACTAATATGATTGTTATGTATTTTTCGTGATTCAAGACTATGGCACCTAATAAAGAATGGATGCAACTTTTTGATGATCGACTTGATAATGCTTATGTGCTTGGGGTGGAGAAATTTTTGAATTATGCTTTTACAAAGTTAGGAGAAAAAAAAGAAATACGTTGTCCATGTATGAAATGTTGTAATGCATCTTCAAGAACTCGTGAGATGGTTAGGTCACATTTATTGGTACATGGAATTGTCCGAAGTTATACTTTTTGGTATCATCATGGGGAGAGGTTACATGAACCAGAATCAGATTCTGAATTTGTAGACCATATTGACATTGAAAGGGATGATGAGAAGGATGAAATACATGAGATTTTAGGGGATTTATATCCTAATTTGAATGAAGTCAATATGAACACTGGTGGTGATGATTTTATTGAGGAGGAACCAAATCCTGAAGAAAACCGATTCTATAGTCATTTAAAAGATTTTGAGCAACCAATCTATGAAGGTTCGAAAGCTTCTAAACTTTCTACTTTGGTCAAATTACTTCATATAAAAAGTATTGGTAAATGGAGTAATGCGTCATTTACAATGTTGTTGAAGTAAGGAAGATTTATTGCCAGATGGATCCAATTTGCCAAGTTCATATTACAATGCAAAAAAGATAATTCGGGAGCTTAGATTTTCTTACCAAAAATTGATGCATGTAACAATAATTGCATGTTGTATTGGAAGGATGATGCGCTTCTTGAATCTTGCAAAGTATGTGGAATATCTAGATGGAAGGAGGATAAACGTAATAGGGAAACAAAATTTAAACATGGGAAAAGATACCATGCAAGATTTTGCGTTATTTTCCTCTAAAGCCAAGACTTCAAAGACTGTTTATGTCTTCAAAAACATCTTCTTTGATGAGGTGGCATCATGATGAGAGAGTTGATGATGGAATAATGAGGCATCCTGCTGATTCAGTAGCTTGGAAGACACTGGATAAACTTCACCCATCTTTTGCTACTGAACCGTGTAATATTCGACTTGGACTTGCTAGTGATGGTTTTCAACCTTTTAAAAGTACAAAAACTCCACATAGCATTTGGCCTGTGGTATTGATTCCTTATAACGTACCACCTTGGTTATGCATGAAGCAAGAAAATTTTATTTTATCGATGCTTATTCTATGCCCTGAAAGTCCTGGAGATGCAATTGATGTTTATCTCCAATCTTTGATAGAAGAATTAAAGAAATTGTGGGAAACTGGTGTGAAGACCTTGATGCATCATCTAGACAAATTTTATGTTACATGCATCTTTGTTATGGACCATTAATGACTTTCTTGCATATTCAAATTTGTCAGGATGGAGAACCAAAGGAAAATTGGCTTGCCCATGTTGTAATAAAAAAACTCTTTCAATTTGGTTGAAAAATGGGAATAAACAGTGTTATATGCGCCATAGACGCTTTCTTCCTCGTATTAACAAATGGAGGAATGATAAAGATTCTTTTGATGGCACTAAAGAGCATAAATTACCACCAAAAATGCTATCTGGTAATGATATACTTGATCAAGTGGCTGATTTAGATGGTAACATACTATCAAAGGATCCAAAGAAAGAGACTAAAATATCACATGATAATAGGGGTGATAATTGGGATAAGAAGAGCATTTTCTTTCATCTTCCATATTGGAAAACTCTATTGTTGCGACATAACTTAGATGTGATGCACATTGAGAAAAATATATGTGATAACATTTTGGGAACAATCTTAAATGTCAAAGGAAAAACCAAAGATACCATAAATTCTCGATTGGATTTGGAAGTAATAGACATAAAGAAAGAATTGCATCCGATAAAAAAGGGGGATAAATATGAGTTACCAACTGCATGTTAACATTATCACCTGAAGAGAAGCATAAATTTTTCAATTTCTTGAAGAATTTGAAGGTCCCAGATGGATTTTCATCCAATATATCTCAGTGTGTCAATCTTAAAGATCGCAAACTTTCAGGATTGAAAAGTCATGATTACCACGTTATTCTGCAACATCTACTCCCACTTGCAATACGTGGTATGCTTTGCAAATCTGTACTTGAACCACTTATTGAGTTGTCTATATCTTTCAACATGCTCAGAGCAAAATGTTTGAGAGTAGATGAGCTAGAGAAAATAGAAGGCCAAATTCCTATAACTCTATGCAAGTTAGAAAAGGTCTTCATTCCTGCATTTTTTGATATCATGGTTCACCTGCCAATTCATTTAGCTAATGAAGCTAAGATTGCTGGACCTATTCAATATCGATGGATGTATCCAGTGGAGCGATGGTATACTTCTTAAAGTCTTTTATTTGTAATAGGACTCACCTAGAAGGCTCTATTGCAGAGGGATATATAGCAACTAAATGTATGACTTTATGTTCAAGGTATTTGCATACGGTGGAAACAAGATTTAATCGCACTGAGCGGAATTATGATGGCAGTTCTATTGTATCTGATGGAGGTTTAACAATTTTTTCTCAACCTGGAAAAACTTTAAATAGTGCCACACCAGGAAGTCTTGAATCAGACGAATTTGAGCAGGCACACTTTTATATTCTAAAGAATTGTGATGAAATTCAACCATTTCTTGAGTAAGTAATAACTAATTCAAATAATTGACGGTTACCTTTCCATATTTCCATACTTAAAATAACATATTATACTTTAAATTCTTTGTAGAGAATTTTCACAAGTTCCATTTGATACCTCTAAGAATGATTCAGAGATCGAATGGAATAGACAATTCATTAGTTGGTTACAAATTAAGGTGAGTAGTTAAGATTTTATATTTTAAATTAATTTGCGAATAGCATTTGCTAAATTGTGTATACATACTTGGTTTGATAGGTTGCAGAATTGCGCAAACATGATGATAGTAAGCAAATAGAAGATTTGTTCTCACTGTCACGTGGTCCTCTGCCATATGTGACAAGTTTCAAAAGCTATGTTACTAAGGGATATAGATTTCACGTGCAAGACCGTGATAAAGGCTAGCTTTTGAGCCATACATCGTCTATAACAAGTTCATTGTAAGGACAGATAATACGCAGGTAAAATGGTGGATCACACGGAAGATACAGGACTCAGTAACAACAAAAGAAATACGAAGACTAGTATTAAACATACAGAATTTTACATTTACAATAGAAGTCATATGTACTAACAAAAATGTCATTGCAAATTACATTTCAAGACAAAGCTACACAGACGGATCTAGATAAAGAAAATGCTATTGAAAAGATACTCAATACTATGACACTGCTTGGTACAAATATGACATTACTTTGTACAAAAGTAGATAG